ATGTTAACAAATTTAAGACTGAAGAAATGTCAAGAAATATACATAAAACTTATCCCTGGAAAATGTACAAATACACCAAAAGAAAGTGCAAATTTTGATATTTCAAAGATTTTATCAAACAAGTAATAACTTTTATTTTCAAAATTACCTTTTCTCTGTTTTGGGGTCTTTATTTATTTTGGTAAGGTCATGATATAGACCTCCCTGGCAAGTTCCCTGCTTCACAAAGGCCAGATCCCCTACTTTTATTCCGTTAGGGTGCTCTCCTCAAGTCCTTCTGAATTTTACCCCTCCCTCCTTCACTACGGCCCCGGGGACCCGTGTCCTACTGAGGTCAAGGTCAGGGTGGGAGACACAACAATGACATCATCCTGTAACAGGTACAAGCTACAAATTCTCTAAGCTATCTTCATATGAAAAAAAATTTTTTTTTTTTTTTTTTTTCACTGGGAAAAGTTTTGGGCAAAATTTTGTATTGTTAATAATAACCAGAGTCTCTGTCAATGAAGCTCTACTGGTTTGTACTTATAGCAAAAAAAAAAAAGTACTTAGGCAGTTGGGAATTTAAACTTTTCAACAGCAATTAATAGAAAAATGATCCTTGATTAAGTCTCTTTATGTTTTAGTGTAGTCTACTTGCATCCACATTACATTATAATCAGACTAAAAAGTATTTGGAGTAGCATTTTGAGAGTATTAAACAGAAATTTCTATTTTTAAACCGTGGCAACACCGTTCATTGAAGTGAAAAACTATACAAAGAATTATGTACCTTAGTGTAGTCTACTTGTGTGCCAAGTTATATTGAAATCAGACCAAAACTGTAGGAGGTGTAGCATTTTGAAATAATTTCACAGAAATTTCTATTTTTAGTAACCCCAGCAACACCGTTCATCGAAATCAAAAACCGATATACAGAAATATGCACGTTAGTGTAGTCTACTTGTGTGCCAAGTACTTAAAATCAACCAAAACTGTAGGAGGAGTAGCATTTTGAAAAATTTCACAGAAATTTCTATTTTTAAAAGCACGCAACACAGTTAATCAAAATAAAAACTGATAAATTTTTATGACCTTAGTGTGTTTACTTGTGTGCCAAGTTATATTGAATTCAGACCAAAACTGTAGGAGGAGTAGCATTTTGAATGAAATTTCACAGAAATTTCTATTTTTAGTAACCACGGCAACACCGTTCATGAAATCAAAAACCGATACAAAGAATTTTTTTAGTGTAGTCTACTTGTGTGCCAAGTTAAATTGAAATCAGATTAAAACTGTAGAAGGATGCATTTTGAAAGAATTTCACAGAAATTTCTATTTTTAGTAACCACGGCAACACCGTTCATCGAAATCAAAAACCGATAAACAGAATTATGTATCTTAGTGTAGTCTACTTGTGTGCCAAGTTATATTGAAATCGGACCAAAACTGTAGGAGAAGTAGCATTTTGAAAGAATTTCACAGAAATTTCAAAAGTAACCACGGCAACACCGTTCATCGAAATCAAAAACCGATAAAAAGAATTATGTATTTAAGTGTAGGCTACTTGTGCGCCAAGTTATATTGAAATCATACCAAAACTGTAGGAGGAGTAGCATATTGAAATAATTTCACAGAAATTTCTATTTTTAGTAACCACGGCAACACTATTCCTTCAAATCAAAAACCGATACACAGAATTATGTATCTTAGTGTAGTCTACTAGTGTGCCAAGTTATATTAAAATCAGCCCAAAACTGTAGGAGGAGAGCTTTTGAAAAATTGTTTACAGAGGAAGAAACAGCTAGACAGACAGACGGACGGACGACGGCGCATTATTCGCATAAGCTCTTCTGGTCTCTGACCAGTGAGCTAAAAATAAAGCTTCTTTAGTCTTTGTTTGCATTTTCTTCAACTGCATGGAAGGGAAAAATGGTTTTATTTTTTAAAATAAAAATTTATCATGGTGTATCTCTTTCCAATTCAATTATTATGGCTAGACTAGAGCAAAGCTCGTTGCAAAGCAACGAGAAGGTCTTCCATCCTGTTTGACCGGAAGTAGCTCTCATTTTTCACGAAAATGAGAAATAACCCAAAAAAAATGCTTTGAATCCTTTAAAGCTATTTAATTTATGCAAACATAAGCCATTTTTTGCTACTTCCGGTTTGACCGGAAGTGACGACGACCCCGGAAAATTAAATTTTATGCTCCCAGAGCATATGTTACCCCAAAACTTGTCAAAAACAGCAAAAATTTGCGTTTTGACTTTTCCCGGGTTTTGGCCGGAAGGGGCGCCTGGATTTTGGGGTCCATTAGATTAAGCTTGACATTTTCAATAACTTTGCTTCTTTGATGTATAACAAATTCTCAATGCTTTTTGAGATATCTGGAAAAAAAACTTTTGGCCCCTCTAGATCCCTTAATGTAGGGGTCAGCCCTTTTTCCGACATATCATTTGAAAGATCTACTAATTCTGCACAAATTATGTTCAATAATTTTAAAAAATATTTTTAGTTTAGA